CTCCAACCGCGGACGTGGATGAGGAGGAGGACGATGGAAGAGTATCGTTATACAGTCGAAGAGATGGAGGAGAGATCCCGCAGGATGGGATAAGGGTTTGGTATTCGTGAGTCCTTCCACCACCTTCGCCTCAGACTGAGCGGCGGCTGATGCACTGGGCGGTTATGAATGGCCCAGGTCATACGATACCATCGACTGGCTGCACGATCAGGTGCGTCTCCCAGCCGCTCCGCTCCTCCTCTTCCCTTCTTACGACAAGAGAACTAACTCCTCTCTCTCTCCCCTCTCACTCTCCCCTCTCTCTCTCCCTCTCCCGCTCTCTCTCTCCCCTCTCTCCCTCTCCCGCTCTCTCTCTCCCCTCTCTTCCTCTCCCGCTCTCTCTCTCCCCTCTCTTCCTCTCCCTCTCTCTCTCTCTCTGTTCGTCTGTGTCCTTCTCTGTAGATCAAAGACTCCAGAAGAGTCAAACGACTACGAGATCGCGCAAGAACCCACGGTTGGCGGGGGAAACTGATCAATGCCGCTGATCGAGCCACTGGATGGATCGTGGTTTCCCTAATTGGTACGCTCCCCTTTCTCCGGACAGGTATTCGACAAGCTGTGGCGTTGACTGATAGGACTGGAATGCGGCCGTTTCGTAGGGATCATGACTGCCTTCATGGCCTATATGGTTATCAAGACTGAAACGTTATTCTTCGGACTTAAGAGTGGGTACTGCTCGAGAGGATGGTGGCGGACGAGGGAACAGTGTGGCCATGCCGGATGGGTGGCGTGGCATTATGCTCCCAGTACTGCCGGCGGTGCCGGGGGGATATGGACAGGATGGAAGTCGTTCACGATATACCTGTTCATCGCAGTAAGCACATTCTCTCCGTACCTTACTCCCAAAGATTCTCCGTCTCATCTCCTTCCCCCCTTACCACTTTCCTTGTGCGAATGTAGCTGGGTCTCGCGTGGGTTTCTTCTGTGATGACCGTTTACCTGACCGCTTCTACTCGGTTCGAGGATCCCACAGTCGCTACGCTTGCTCCTGCGGAGACAGCATCAGAGTCAGGGTCAAAGGCAGGAGCAGGAGCAGGAGTAGGGGATGGTATAGCAGGACATAGGGGTGTCTCCAGTGCCTGTCCGGCGACTGGGGACAAGTCGGAGACGATGCCACTTCTATCCGCACCTGACAACGGCGACAGTGAATGTCCTTGTTATTCTACTTCGATACCGGTATCCGCAGACATCAACGAAGCGTTCCCCACATCACCGATGCCACCACTATCGTTGACTACCCAACGGATTATGTATTTTGCCGCTGGGTCAGGGATACCAGAGATCAAGACGATTCTTTCCGGTTTCGTCATCAAGGGCTATCTCGGCGCCGTTGTCTTGTTCGTCAAGAGTCTCGGATTGGCTCTCTCTGTGGCTAGTGGGATGTCGCTAGGTACGTCCGTGGTCCTTTACTGTGCGAAATGTTTTCGGCCATGCTTCTCCCGGCCGGATCTGCTGAGCAAATATCTGCCTGCCTGCCTGCCTGCCTCATAGGCAAGGAGGGACCGATGGTGCATATCGCTTGCTGCGTCGGGAATATCGTTGCCCGACAGTTTAAGAAATATGAACTAAACGAGGCAAAGAAGCGGGAAGTCTTGTCTGCTGCCTGCGCTGCTGGAGTGTCGGTAAGCGAATCATTCGGGATTCTATCGATGGCAAGGAAGAGGTAATCGCAACATGTGCTGAGATTGCCCTTGCACTTTGCCTTACGCTCCCATATCTGATAGGTAGCATTTGGCGCACCCCTAGGCGGGACCCTGTTCTCCTGGGAAGAGTCAAGCACCTACTATCCAGCCAAAGTCATGTGGCGATCGTACGACATGCCATTGCGAGATGGTTTTGTGGACTAGCAACGAACAGGTTCTTACTTACGCCAATTGTTTTCCGCCAGGTTCTTCTGTGCAGCTGTAGCTGCCCTGACACTTCGGATCCTCAATCCGTACGGACATGGTCGCCTCGTTCTTCTCGAGGTGGATTACACGTCCGATCATCATAGTAATTTTATCTACTTGATTGCTGTCTTACTCGGCGTTCTTGGGGTACGCTTGTATTCCTCCACGAATCTTGAAGCTCTCGCGTGTGCTGAAGTCTGCGCTGCTCTCTTCTTGCAGGGTATCTACGGTGCCGTCTGGGCAAGGCTGAACATAGCTTGGAGTAAAAGAGTGAGAGGTGGTACCTGGGTCAAGCGACATCCAATAATGGAGGTTGCCATGGTATGTGGGCCTTCGCCATGACATCTCAATGAGCGGTGCGGTTGACTCAGCCCTCATCTTTCTATAGATCAGTATCGTCACTAGTCTCGCTTCGTATTACAGCCCCCTCACCCGTATCGGTGGAGTCGAGTATGTCGCAGAGGTGAGAACCTTAAGGCCGGATGCATTTATAATGCGGGCCCACGCTGATCCACGCTGTGACCGCAATTTAGCTATTCGCCGAATGCCACGACCACATTTCGGGATTGTGCTCTCGAGTCCCCTCCGACATCCTGGCAAATATCGGGCGACTCGCTCACTCGGTCGTCATTCGAGCCGGTCTCGCATGTATTACTTTTGGGTGAGGAACTTCGGGACGTGACTCGGCAGTCCATGGCATCTAACCTGAAAGACTCACTGAAACTCCGCAGAATTCGGGTACCCGCTGGAATTTTCGTTCCATCGCTCGCTGCTGGCGCCGCTTTCGGTCGCATCATCGGTCTCGTCCTGGAATATTTGTGTGAATTATATCCGGGGAACCCCATCTTGCCGCACCGAAAACACATCGTTCCTGGTGTCTACGCCCTCGTCGGTGCTTCGGCAACTCTAGCGGGCGTAACGCGAACCACAATTTCCCTAGTCGTTATCGTAGTTGAGCTCACGTCGAACATTGACTACGTCGTTCCCGTCGCGCTGACGGTGTTGGTCGCAAAGACGGTTGCAGATGCATTAGAGAGTGATGGGATTTATGACCTTGTGATCAAGTACGTTGACCTTCATGTTTCTGTGACCGGCATCTACTCATACATGCAGCACTGTAGCATGAACCAATTCCCCTTCTTGGACGCTAAAAAGGAGCATCATTTTGATCGAGCAGATGCTGTGGATATTGTGAGTGCTATAAATACAAAAGGTGATCTTAGCCTCGAGTATCTAACGCACATGACTCCAGGCCGATGCCATGTTACCTTACCTCAAGGTGGACGACCATCAGACCGTGGCAAGTCTGCAGAACCAAGTCGATAACCTGAAGGCGTTGGGATACAGCGACGGTTCTTTCCCTTGCTTAGCCTTGCAAGGGAGTGGTCGCGATCAGGAATTGCACGTTGTCGGAATTCTAGCACTGAATGAGCTACAGCATGTCCTCGGTAAGAAAGAATGCGTAGATTCCGTTGCAATGCCCGCTGATGAAACGACCTAACATGATGAAGGAGCCCTCTCGAACGAGCCCGATGCAACTTGCAATCTCTCGCCATCCCGGTCCCAAGCGTGCGGGACGGAATCTGGTGGTGATCAGTCTATCGAGGATATCACCGATGATCCTTACGATTTAGTGCCTTATATCGACCTCGTGAGTTGTTCTTTTGAGCCTACTGTAGTACTCTTCGCATCTAAACCGCTTCATTCGCTCGTGTAGGCGCCACTCCTCGTACTGGAAAACTCGCCGTTGGAACTTGTGCAGCAGTTGTTCACAAAGTTGGGAGCTCGAGCGGTTATTGTCATCAATGGGCGAGGGCGGTATCGGGGAACGATCGTTAAAAAGACTTGGCTGAAATACTTGAAAGAGCATAAGGGGTAGGGTGTATCAGATACATTGCCATTTGTCTTTATGCATGAGCATTGCACGTAGGCCGTCTTGGTACATGCCTGAGTTAACGAACGGAGCTGTGTAAAATCGCTAATGGTTGCGCCAGCATCATGTCCCGGGTGAGCCTTCAGCTGTCACCTGTTGTAGTCACCTCCAGCTTGAGACAGCCGATCGTTTATGATGATATGCTTCAGGTAGTCTTTCAGTCGCTATAGTCGCATCGAAGGAGACTGGATCGTTCGGCGAGAAAATCCAAGGTACTCATTTACCATTGACGGCTGATACTTCAACACATGAAGGATGATCGCACTCCGCAGCATTAAGCGGACCGGGGGCTTTCCGGCAGCTGGGTACGTCCGTTTTTGTTGCCTCCCAAGTCAGCTTGGGGGAAAGGTCTTCAATGCTGGAGCTTTTCGCAGAACCATTGGTTGCCTTCCTCGCACAAACCTGCGCCTCCGAGATGAACGTTGTTATAAAATCCTCCGAAAGCCTACGAGACGAGAGCACACAACACCGCATAGCTCAATGCTCTTACCTTCCGCCCAATTGCTTATCCACCGCGTTGCGACCCTTCGCGCACTAATTTCTTCTCAGTTGTTCCCGATGTGTCGAGTGTTCTTTGCCCGTGATTCGTCTGAGAACGCAGGCTTCCTTACAAGTTCACACCTTCACGAGTCAACTTCGGTTATAGTCGCAGCTCAAGCCTTCAAGCGCCATTGGAAGTCTGTGCCAGGCATCACGCTTCCTTTTGAGTAATATTTGACGTTTTTCCGCGATTCATCTGTGAATATTATGTGATCATTTACCATTGCCTAGTTTTCGCTCCCGGTCACCATAGAGCGTGTTGATATACTAGTTCATCTTATGGGGATTGGATCACAAACTTCGGCAGCCTTCCAGGAGTTCGGTACAGCACTTGCAGGGAAGTGAGCACAGAGGAAGAGGAGCGACATCCAAGATTGGAAAACGCCACTTTGGCAAGAGGATGATATCGCCTGTTCTTTCCACCAACGGTCATCCCACTGCCCAGTGATCTTCATGCACGTGAATACCTCTCATGCCTGAGGCTATTTGTTCACGCTAGAGCTCAGCAAGAAGATACATGTGCCTCTTCGGAAAAAAGGCTCGTTTGCCTCGGTTTTTGTGGCAAAACACCTCCAAGAACCGCAAAAAGATGTTTATCTTGTCCGTTCTGTGGATTGAACACAGGACCTGCGGTATGCCAAGAATTCTGAGTCGAATTCCAAGCTTCAGACCGTCGCTCTCCCACTGAGCTAAACAGACTTGGATGTTTAGGAAATCAGTTTCATAAACATGTTAACAACCAAAGCCGCGTCGTCCATTCAATCTCGTTTGTTAGCCGCTAGTCAGCCTCAGGCAGCTTGCTGCTTCCTTCTTCTAGCTATATAGCTCTCTCACACCAGCCACCATCTTGCAGCTGTCTCTTTGTGCAGCTGTTCTTCACAGCTAGCAGTCTCAAGATATGTATTGCTCTCGATCGCGCTTCTCAACTTCGGTATCATTTCGCAGCTATTTCGGCACACAGTCGGCGTTCGGTCCGGAGTTGATATGCTATATGCGGAGTTGCAGTTCGTGCTCATCAATCGTGGTAGCCATCGTGGTCATTGGTCATATTAGCGGGTCCTTTGATTACTTGTTTGCTGTTCCCCCTGTAGTTCTGATATCAGCGTTCCCAACGTACCTCTCCAGACCAACATGGCCCCGTCGTACCCCCAGATCGTCGTCACTGGAGATTCGATCTCCCAGCAGGCATTCAATATTGGTGGATATGGCGCAGCACTGGTAAACGCTGTGAGTGATTGTTAACCCCTAGACGTATTCAAGCTCATGATTACTCGCTTTTTAGTATCAAGGCAAAGCGGACATCATCAACCGTGGGATGGGAGGCTAGTATGTCGAATTCGACTCCTATCGCCTGCTTTAGTATTGATTTGAGCCATCCCTACCTCTCTAGCAACTCCCAGCAACTGTTGAACAAGCTCAAAGACGACTTTCAGTGGCCCAACGGTGACATCAAGTTAATCTTGATTCATATCGGCACCAATGATGCGTGAGTAGCCTTTGCCTCAAGCCACAAGCCGGGCCATTGACATGTTTTCGCTCAGGACTACTCGCGGAATCCAGCATGTACGTCGATAAACAACTGGTCATGGCATTTTCCTGATCGCCGTCCCGCACAGCTCTCCGTAGAAGATTTTACCCAGAACGTCAGGGCGATCCTAAACCACTTAAAAGCCACCCAACCAGCCGCCAAAATCATCTTGCTCACGCCTTCCATCGTCGACGTTGACGCATGGGCCGCATTGGGAAGGGAACAAGGAATGCCGAGCGAGTTTTTCGAAAACCGTACCACGGAAGCTGCCAAGAGGATCCGGGACGCTGTCGTCGAGGTCGCGAAAGAGGCGGATGTGGGTGTTCTGGATGTCTGGAAGCTGCATGAGGATGCGGTGAATAATGGCGAGCTCGAGTTCCGTGAGCTGTTCTCGGACGGATTGCATTACACTGCAAAGGGGTACGCTGTAGGTATCGCTCGTTGGGCCTTTCCCGCTCCACGTCGCTTCTGCCTTTACTCTAGGCATCTCGCTGATCCACTTCCTTTGATGGATAGTATATCAACAAAGCCCTTTTGCAACTCATCAGCACCAGCTTACCATCCTTGTCACCCGACACCATGCCAGAAGGGTTCACCATGTTTGCAATTTACGGAAACGAAAACAACCCAGAGGCACAAAGAATGGTGCGGATGTACATGGAAAAAACGGAGGCTGACAAGCAGGCTGCGCTGGGTAATGCACAGTAAAAGGCATTCGCAAAATGTGGAGCGGTTATCACAGGTCCCGAAGCTGGTCCTGAATTGTATCATGGTCGAAAGGGGTGAATGACAACCATTAAAGGCATCCACGGTGTGACCTGACATCATGCCATGTGGTTGGCAATTATGACTTGTTGGGACACTTGAGATCGACTCGGATAGCCTTACTACCCTCCTCACAAACAAACACCCACGTGTGATCGGCACTGCAAGCAGGCTTGAGGGCTTCGCTTCTTGGCCAGCCGTTGGTAGCTACACAATATGGAAGCGAAAGATGCGCTGCTGGCCTGATCCGTGCTGCGCGATTTGCACGTGAATCGTCCCATGGCGAGCAGTGATTCTATGGGCCAGCAACGTGGCTGCAAAACCAGCTGCATCCTCTCAACTGACTAAGCGCGACCGATAGCTAGGAGCCAAGGATGTCCTGGAATCCTCGGCTCACCGGCGACTTGACTCACTTCGCGGCTTCCCTTACCAGCTGGCTGCCTGCCCTGACCGCGGATGCGAACCGTGCGTTTCATCCGTGTTTCATGTCTCGATTTATCCGCGTCATCTTCCATCAAGCATGCGATACACGTCCCTTCTCGCGAGCACAAAAGATGACGATTTGCGAACGCATGATCACATGCCGTGCGCTATCTGTTCCGCGCAAGTCCTTGGTGTATATAACCCGGAGCGGTCGTGATGATGATGCTGACAGGGCAACTGACACCATTCACCCTCCCCCTTGCTTCCTCATTCGATGTACTCAGCTACTTCGTTGCGGCAACGTAAGTAGTGCCGCTCGTCCACTGTCAAAGGGACGCGAATTAAACGCATCGCATATTTCTCTTCGTTCTAGTCAGCAATGACGAACGTTTCCATCTCTCACGAGATCTAGCTGGTCACCCGCAACTTGTCACCTACGTGGCCAGTTATCCATCATTCCAATGTCTACCCACAAAGCAGTTCTTGAAGGCAAGAGCGCAAGCGGTCGTGGAGCGTTTCCCTACCCTCAAGGCCCGAATCCTCGACTCGCAGACGACAAAACCTAAATGGGACCTTCTTTCCGATGAACAGGTGGAAAGAGGACTCGAGGGACAAGTGACTGATGTGGTTCTTGACAGGTTAACAACCGAGAGTAGCACTGCTGTTCCAGCGGAAGGAGAGAATGATCGGCAGGTCTCTCGCCGTCTTGAAACGATATTCACCAACGAACTCAACGATACGCAGCCTCTACAGGTCCGCTCCGGTGGTCTTCTCTGGCGTGTGGTACGATATCACTTCCGGGAAGAAGATGGAATCGATTCGAAGAAGCCTCAACCTGCATTCATCGCTCTCACCATCAACCATCTTATCTCCGATGGCCGATCGGGTCAAGCCCTGCTGAACGCGCTGGTGGAACCTACCCCAACATCGACGCTTGATAGCTGGCTTGATCCGGCTTCGTCCCACTCCCCGTCATATCAGCCCTGCCTTGCGCCGTCCTTAGAAAGCACCATCAATTGTTCCCCTAGTATAGCCTATATCTTGGCTACGATCTGGACGGAACTTGTCATTCCCGCCCTTCCGAGGTTTTTGGCAAGGTGGATATCAAGCGCTCTTTGTTGGCCTGGAAAGCCACCATGCAACACATCGACGACGATGGTTTCGGATAAAGAAGCGCAGAGGTTCGAGCATTTCCATCTGACGAGTCGACAGCTACATACACTCAAGACTTTGGGCAAGAGAAATGGAGTGGCCACTTTACATCCTACCTTGCAGATCGCCGCTATGATCGCGCTTTGGATCGTGATCGACTCGGTGCCATCAGCGAAATCATGCCAACATCGGAAATGTGGCAGTAAAGTGCTGGACATCGTGCACGACGCCCTCATTAGTGTTCGATCCTCAACTCTTGGACATCCGTTGATCAGCGGCAACTACTGTGCTGTGCTTGGCTCTCGTCTTCGTTGCCCTTCTAGTGATGACGATATCCACTTTTGGACGTCCGTGAAAGATTATGCCAGCTGGCTACATTCCGACGCGGGAAGAAAACGTGGACTGGACGTTTTCGGTTCATTAAGATTCATTCCTGATCGACAAAATCGAGTACACGCCGATTCCGTGGAACCGACGGGTTGGGAGGAGTTCCTCTTAGCAAGGGCTAAACGAGCTCCGACGGAATCGCTAACGGTGTCCAACCTAGGTCACATGGCATGTCCCCCCAACGCAACAGGCATAGCGTGGTGTCAATCCGCTACGATAATGCAGTGTCCATTCATGCTCAACGTTGTTGGGCACCACGAAGGACTGGATGTGACGTTTTGTTGGCGAAAGGGTGCATGGGCGGAGCATGATGGCGGACCGGATCCAGGGGATGATTTTGCGGAAATGTATCGCAAGGTGTTGCATACTTTAACAAGTATCGGCGAGGAGCATGATTCGATTAAGGAGACCGACCTGTCGTTCCTGGAAATTCGTGCTAGAGTGCAAAGGAAGCTTAACGAAGAGGAAGCGTGAAGAGTGTATTGAAGGATGAATGGGTGTGTGCTGTATCGAGTTTAGGATAAGCAGAATGTATGACTTGACACGGATACAGATCGTCTACAGGACAAGCTAAGACGAGCAGTGCAACTGGGTCTATTATTAATCACCGTATGATAGTTGTCTATTCCTTCACCAGCTTGTTGTTACAACCATGTAGGTACAGAAAGCTGATCCAGATCCATCGATACCCACCGGACCACCGACCCCGAACCAATCTGTGTTCCCCTCGGACCGACCAGAAGAGGTGACTATTGATCCTTCTTCGATTGCGTTGGCGCTGAAGACTTGGATATCGAAAGAAGGTAAGGAGGAACCTGTAGACGAACAGATTCAGTGAACCATTCCTATCAGACATTGATAAAAGACAGAGTAATAGCGTACCTGAATGCTAGCCAACGTGTAGACACCGAAGAACAGAATCGGCAGCAGGATTCCGAACGAGATGAGTAGGGAAGTGATGACGGGAGTGCTCAAGATCGTCGCATGTTCGAACAGCGGACCTCGAGTGCCGTTCTTGTTGGTCGAGTTATCGTGGGCTTTGATCAGATCGTAGTACCCGTCCGAGTTGTCCTTGTCCGCGTCGGGGTCGGAGTGTGTTCCGTTCTTGTGCTTGTTCTTGTTCTTGTGCTTCAAGAGCTTTGGCTCGGAGAGAGCCTCGTCGTCTGCTGCATCATCCGACTCGTCTGCCGAACCGAATAGGTCAGGGAAGCCTTCTTCGAGATATGCGAGTGCCTCCTCTTCCTCCTGCTCGGCTTCTTCAAGCAGTTCCTCCCAGGCATCGGCGACGCTCTCACTTGTTGGTTCAATTAGTTGACGTTTCAAATGTTGAGAAGCGCTGATGGAAGGTACACCTGTCAAAACAATAAGGCAGGATGGATGACGGCTGGTGAAAGTTTTGAGTGCCACCAGGGGTGAATCGATGGCTGAGAGGGGATCGACAGTC